CTATCCATGCCCCTCATGATTTTATAAACCTCTATAAGGTCACCCCTCAACCTCTGCTGCTCCAGGGAAAACAGACCCAGCCCATTCAGCCTCTCCCTATAGCTCAAACTCTCCAACCCTGGCAACATCCTTGTCAAACTTTTCTGAACCCTTTGAATATAGAAGATTAAGGAAATCTAACTCAGACATTTAAAGGAATTGATAGGATAGACAGAGAGAAACTTATTTCCATCGAAGTGCCAGTTGAGGACAAAGGCACAGAATAAAACTAGCAACAAAATAATAATTTCTGGAACAAAATTCAAGTCAAATTGGCATAACTTTTCTGAGCACGTTGATTAGAAAATATCTACATTTGGGCTTAGAAAGGTTCCCTTGATGCGGTGGTGGTATAATAGCACTGGTCTAGTACTGAACTCAAAATGTTAACTCTGTTTCTCTCCCCACAGATGCTGCCAGACCTGTTAGGTTTCTCCAGTATTTTCTGTGTTTCATTCAGATTTCCACCAACCACAGTTTTATGCCTTCATTTATGTCTGCCATATCATTTCTGAACAGGTTGATTTGAAAATATCTACAACTGGGATTAACTGAAAATTTTAAAGCTGGGATGGACAGATATTTTTGTTGGATAAGATGATTGAGTGTAAATTTTTATGAGCAAGAGAGTCGCTCATTATTTATTCCTCAAGCATCACCGAAAAACAGATTTTCTTGCCTTCATCGCAATTAAGTCCTCAATTCTAAATATCTCAGTCTTGTTTTAAGTGCCTCTATTTCTCTTTTTCTCTAATGGCCTCAAGTCCAAAACATCTATGCTCCTCCAATCTTAGCCTTGAATATTTCTCATTTTAACCACTCCCTAATACTGGCCATGCCTTTGACTCTCAAAGTTGCCATTTCTGGCTTTTATTTGCTAAAACTGTCCATCATGACTCTCCTTAACAAAATCAGAAATTGCTGGGAAAACTCAACAGGTCTGGCAGCATCTGTGGAGAAAAAGCAGGGCTGGGCCTGAAACGTTAACTCTGCTTTCTCCCCACAGATGATGCCAGATGCTGAGTTTTTCCAGCAATTTCTGATTTTGTTTCTGATTTCCAGCATCTACAGTTCTTTGGTTCTTTTTTTATTTAATGATGCTTCTTAAACCTGTCCCAAAGCACTTCCTCACCTGTCCTTGTATAAAGTAATGATTCTGGAAGGGTTAATGCTGGTGACGATATTAAGCTCCACCCAAACCGATTGAGTTCATACTGGCTTGGTTGGGGACAGGTAGAACATTGTAGATCTCACAGCGAAGCAGATCTCCCCATCATCTTCTCCCCATCATCTCAGTAAAAATGACAATGTTTACCTCGTGAATTAAACCCCTAACTAATTGCTATCATGCAATAGAAGGGTCACTGGACCTGAAACATTAACTCTGTTTTTTCCTTCACAGACTCTGCCAGACCTGCAGAACTTTTTCAGCAACTTCTGTTTTTGTTGCTGATGCAATAGAACACACTTGGTTAAGACAAGAGCTTCTCCTTCTTGCAAAGACTTACTGGTGTTAATCACATTAAAGCAAATAGTCCAGGCAAGGAAAGAGGGTTAGCATGGTGCAGTGGTAATGTCCCTACCTCTAGCCTAGAAGATCTGTTTTCAAGTGCCACCCTGAAAATGCATTTACTTCTTCCCACAAATATCGCACATGGCCCTTCTGCAGTGAAATATCTGATTTTGTTCTGAAGAAAGATACTGGGCCCAAATAGTTAATCACTCTCTCTCTTTCTCTCTCTGCCCCAGATGCTGCCAGACCTGCTGAGTTTCTCCAGCAATTCCTGTTTTGGTTTCAGATTTACAGCACCCAAGGTTCTTGGTTTTATCAAATTTTGTTTGGTGATTGCAGATGCAAAGTACCCAAGTGGGGGGGGAGGCATTTACTGCATTAAAGGGTCTGTTCAAAAATACATTGTCATTGCATGAACTAAGATGTACAAGTCGGACATTCAGCCCATGCCATTCCATGAAATCATTGCTGGTTTGATAATCCTCAACGCCACTTTCCTGCTTTTTCCACGTGACACCTCATTCTATCACTGATTAAAAATCTGTCTCAGCCTTGAACATACTTCATAACCCAGCCTCAACGGCCCTCTGTGGTAAAGGGTTCCACAGATACACTACCATCTAAGAGAAAAAAATTCCTCTTCATCTCTGTCTTAAATGTGTGACCTCCTTTATTTTGACAAAGTCAGAAGTCTCACAACACCGTCCAAAGGGTTTATTTGAAATTTGAATGTGATTTCACATAGACCTGTTGGACTATAACCTGGTGTCATGTGACTTCTGACTCTATCCACCCCCAGTCCAACACCGGCACCTCCACATCAGAGCCTTTATTTTGACATTACAGCTTTGGTCCTAGACTCTCCCACAAGGGGAAATTGTCGAGCCCCCTGCGAATCTTATGTGTATCAATAAGGTCTCCTCTCATTCTCCTAAATTCAAATGAGTATCTCAATGGCTTTTCTTGCTCGTACTCAAGTGTTTCAAAAGTCCTAAAATTCCACTTCATCCAAATGTATGATGTCTAAACGCAATTCAAATCAGGTTACAAAGAATAAGTTACTCAAAACCCTCAAATTGTATGATCCAAAGGCAGTAACAGATCATTGATCAGTGGTTAGTGAAATTGGGAGGTGTAGGGGAAATGGGACAATGGTTCCCAAGGCTTTGGGAATTTCCTCGCCTCATGTCTGACTCACTTGTAGATTCAGTGATAGAAACTGATCACTGTGATTGGCCAATGACACCATCACTATTGCATCAGGTGACTATTAGGGTGCTGGAATGTCAAGGAGGCAGACTTTATCCTGTATTTGCCCAAGACGTTCTTCTGTAGATTATTTATCACTGACATTCCCTGTAGGTTGAGGGAAAGGTGGACTTACTTCCTTCCAGGCAGTACTCAATACGATAGCCATCCAGTCCTGCTGCTCCAATACGTTCAGGGGGCCTCCATTTGAGTGATATACTGTTGTCTGTCACACCATCACAAGTGAGCAGTGTAGGTTCACTGGTTGGGGCTGGAGACGAGAAAACAAACACAGGACAGTTCATGGTAAGGCTCTGTGTTTGACCACTCAGAAAAGTGTGGGGAATAGTCTCTTTACAAATGGTGTCAATATAGAATGAGTGATAACTCTTGCCTCAAAATTTACATTGGAAAACTAACAGTGCTGCACATCAGTGCTGCCCCATTTGAAAGTTGGCACATGATGTATAACCATGGCATCTACTTGATATGGAAAATTACCCAGTTGATGCTACCCATAAAGAACAGGATAAACGTAACTCAGTCAGTTAACACCCTGACAGCTGCCTCCACATCTGTCATGTGACGGAAAAAGTTATTGGAAGTACCATCAAGAACTCCTTATTCACCAGTTGCCTGCCCATCAACGTTTAGTTGGGTTGCTGCCAGATCCCTTTAACTCCAGGACACTTTGCAGCGTTGACACTGACACAGTAGCTGAAGAGGTGGTGAGAGTAAATGTTCAATATCCAACCGAGTGCCACACAAAGGAGCCTGAACAAAATGGAGGTCACTGGAGGTCAAAATGAAAATGCCCCCAGTGCCTGATCAAACCTGACACAAAGGAAGATGGTTGAGTTTGTTGGAAGTTAACCATTTCAGGCTTAGTAGATCACCACAAACATATCTCAGGAAGCATCTATGGCACAAATATCTTCAGTTACTTCCTCAACAACTACTACTCTCTCAAGATGTCATCAACAGTGCTATCAAACAGCACCTGCTCAGCAATAACCTGCTCAGTGATGCCCAGTTTGGGTTCCGCCAGGGCCACTCAGCTACTGACCTCATTACAGCCTTGGTTCAAACATGGACAAAAGAGCTGAATTCCAGAGGGGAGGTGAGAGTGACAGCCCTTGACATCATTATTGCATTTGACTGAATGCTGCATCAAGGAGCCCTAGTAAAACTGGAATGGATGGAAATCAGGGGAAAATTCTCCACTGGTTGGAATCATACCTAGCACAAAGGAAGATGATTCTTGTTGGTGGAGGTTGGTCATCTCAGCTCCAGGACATCTCTTCAGGAGTCCCTCAGGGTAGTGTCCTAGGCCCAACCATCTTCAGCTGCTTCATCAATGACCTTCTCTCAATGTTCAGCACCATTCAGATACTGAAGCAGCGCATGATCAAATGCAGCAAGACCTGGACAAAATCTAGGTTTGGAGCTGACAAGTGGCATGACAAGATTCATAGCCTCACACGTGCCTGGCAATGTCCATCGGCAACAAGAGAGAATCTAACCATTGCCACTTGACATTCAATGGCATTACCATAACTGAATCCCCTACTACAAACGTTCTGGGGTTACAATTGACCAGAAACTGAACTAGACTTTCCATATAAACACATTGGCTACAAGACCAAGTCAGAGGATAGGAATACTACAGAGTCACCTCCTGACTCCCCAAAGCCTGTCCACTTTCTCAAATTATTGGCATTGGCCACCTGGAGTGACAAGGGCAGATGGGTGAGGACATCACTGGCTAAGCCAGCATTTATTGCCCATCCCTAATTGCCCAGAGGGCAGTTAAAAATCAACCACTTTGCTGTGGGTCTGGAGTCACATATAGGCCAGACCAGGTAAAGATGGTAGTTTCCTTCTCTAAAGGACATTAGCGAACCAGATGGGTTTTTCCTGACAATCAACAATAGTTTCATGATCATCATTAGACACCTAATTCCTGATGTTTATCGAATTCAAATTTCACTATGTGCCATGGTGGGATTTGAACCCTGTTCTCCAGAACATTCTGTGGGTTTCTGGATTAACAGTTCAATGATAATACCAGTAGGCCATCACCTCCCCCATGGTGCACAGGAACACCACCTAGTGCAGGTTTCTTTATGAGTCACATACTATCCTGAGTTAGACATTTATCACCATTCCTTAGTGACCCAGAGGTAATATCCTGAATACCCCCAGCTATCACTATCTTAGAAGTCTCATCACCATACGATTTCATGGAGAAGCCTCTCTACTATCTCCTCAAGGACAACCAAAGAGTGCCTATCTGAACCAACATGATGAACAGAAACAAGGCCAGAGCCCCACACTTCATGGAATCTTACCAAGGGGGACAAATGCTTTTGACGGCTCACTGGGTCTGGACATTCCAATGGCATTGACAGCAAACACTCGCACTTCGTAAGGAACCCCTTCAATCATGTTCTTGGGTTCAAAGGTCATTTCTTTACAGAGGTCAAAGTTAAGTCTCATCCATCGAGAGCTTTGCTTCTTCTTCCTCTCAATGATGTACCCTAAATACAGTAGAGAGTGGAGATTGAGTGACAACAACATCTTAGTGGAGCAGCCATTCACCACGCAATGTATGAACATAACCTCACCGCAGTCTCGCCACCATGGTCCCACACACACACAATCCCACCCCCGTACAAAAGTGCAACTTCTGTAAATTTCTTGAATGTATGTCGGACATCAATAAGAGAAAGATAAAAGGCCTTCAGGGAGATGAAAGAATCATAGAATGGTTATAGTATAAAAGGAGGCCATTCAGCCTATTGTGCTTGCACTGGCTCTTTGAAGGCCATCATTCCCTCATGCCAGTCTCCTGCCTTTACCCATCTCCCTGCACACCACTACTATCCCAATAACTGTCCAATGCTCCTCCTGAATTCCTCAGTAGAACCTGCCTCCACCACATTTCCGGGCAGTGCATTCCACACCCTCATTACTCACTGAGTGGAAAGTTTTTTCTCACATCACCCTGGCTTTTCTTGCCCATCACTTTAAATCTATGCCCCTCTTGGTCTTGTTTCTTTTACAAGCTGAAACAGTTTCTCCCTATCTACTCCATACAGCCCTTTCAGATTGTTGTAAACCTCTATCTGGTCTCCTCTTAGCCTTCTTATCTCTAAAGAGAACAGTCCCAGCCTGTTCAATCTAACCTCAGATATGAAGCTCCTTGAACCATTCTTGTAAAAGGAAGAACTTAAAATTATAACACCTTCCACCACCTCAGGACAACTCCCTGCATTTTACAGCCAATTCAAAAAACTCCCTAAAGCTGCCAATTTTCAGATCTAAACATGTTGTCATTATCACAATGGTGTTTATGGGAGATGGCCAAGTGCAAATTGATTGCCACGTTTCCAACATTAAAACACTAAATGCACTTTATTAAGAATCTCACTGACTGTAAAACCCTTTGAGACATCCTGAAGTCTTGAAAGGTGCGAGCACAGGGTTCTACTTTCACTCCTCTGACATTCAATTCCAACCTTCTCAGGCTGTCTCAGACTCTTCAGTTACCTAAAATCGGGGAGCTTCCATCGTAGTCAGGAACATTCCACGTCATTGAACACCAGTCACCTCCAACTTCAGTTACAATCGGCGGTGCAGGGCGATCGGGAACATCTTTAGCAAAGAGCATAAAAGTTCAACATTAGTGCCATTTCCAACAATGTCCAGTCTACATTCTGCAAGGGCGGTTCTGTTCTCTGCCTGGAACGGACTCCAGATACTGAGTGTTCCCACATACTGGGTATAGCGGGCAGTATCGCATGGAGGTGATCGGAAATGTGCTACCACTCAGTGAGAGGCCCATGTTGTAGAAAGAGTACACACCAGCTCTCACCTATTCTCCATTCCCAGAACCAGGTACTGAGCACCCCACCTCAGTAGCCCAGTGTGGAGCTGAAGAAACACAGCAGGCCGGGCAGCATCAGAGGAGCAGAAAAGTTGACATTTCGGGTCGGGACCCTTCTTCAGGAATCTGGTTAGACCACACTTGGAATATTGTGCTCAGTTCTGGTCACCTCATTATAGGAAGGATGTGGAAGCTTTAGAAAGGGTGCAGAAGAGATTTACCAAGACGGTGCCTGGACTGAAGAGCAGGTCTTATGAGGAAAGGTTGAGGGAGCTAGGGCTTTTTTCATTGGAGCGAAGAAGGATGAGAGGTGACTTGATAGAGGTGTACAAGATGATGAGAGGCATAGACAGAGTGGATAGTCAGAGACTTTTTCCCAGGGAGGAAATGGCTATTACGAGGGGCATAATTTTAAGGTGATTGGAGGAAGGTATAGGGGAGATGTCAGAGGTAGGTTCTTCACACAGAGAGTGGTGGGTGTGTGGAATGTGCTGCCGGCAGGGGTAGTGGAATCAGGTACTTTAGAGACTTTTAAACGACTCTTGGATAGGCACATGGAGGTTAGTAAAATGTAGGGTATGCAGGGCAGATTGATCTTAGTAGGATAATAGAACATAGAACATAGAACATAGAACATTACAGCGCAGTACAGGCCCTTCGGCCCTCGATGTTGCGCCGACCTGTGAAACCAATCTGAAGCCCATCTAACCTAAACTATTCCATTATCATCCATATGTTTATCCAATGACCATTTAAATGCCCTTAAAGTTGGCGAGTCTACTATTTTTGCAGGCAGGGCATTCCACGCCTTTACTACTCTCTGAGGTCGGCATAACGTTGTGGGCTGAAGGGCCTGTACTGTTCTATGTTCTATGTTCTATGAAACGTCAGCTTTCCTGCTCCTCTGATGCTGCCTGGCCTGCTGTGTTCATCCAGCTCCATACTGTGTTATCTCTGACTCCAGTATTGGCAGTTCTTGCTATCTCCCACCTCAAAGGCCCTTTCCGATAAAACATTTCTTTGAACCCCCACCTCGAGATAATCTTCAGCTACCACCCCCTTCGTTTCCGATTGAGGAACTGCCCAAACACACACCAGTTACCTGCTCGAAACCCACCCAATCAACAAGCCCCAGATTTGCCAGCCTCTCCTCGGAGATCCCACCATTTCAGTCCTGGCACCCACACCTTAGACCCACTGCCCATTCCCTGTCCATTGCGCGCAGTACGTTGTTAAATGGGCAGGAATGTTGTTGGTCGAGGAGAAGTCGGGAGAGAGTCCAACTCTTCCATCCAAATTGGCCAACAAAGTGTGGTTGGAGAACACGAGGCACGTTGTGAGTTATTGGGAGAAATCCAGAGGTTTATGGAAGTATCATACAACATTGTTCCCATCCCTCTTACAGTGTCCATTAGATGAAGCTCATAGTGGGATTGGGGAGTGGGGCTCTGGGTGGGGGAGTGGAATGAGGCCAGGGGTATTGCGTGATTATATTATTTTCAGCAAACAAGTTCCATCTTTTTTGGGGTGTCACCAGTTTACCTTTCAAGTGTATTAGTGTCAGAATAAACTTTAAAAACCTAACTAGCAGGATCTGGGCAGATTTGATGTTGAGTGTCCCTCGCTAATTGCCCCTGGAGAATGCCAATGCCCCATGGATATGTAGTTCCATCATGTTTATGTTACTTATTGCATTTGTTCATGGAATGTGGGCATCACTGGCTGGGTCAGCATTTAGAATCCACAATTGCCCTCAGAAGGTGAGGATGAGCTGCCTTCTAGGACCGCTGCAGTCCTTGTGGTGTAAGTAGACCACAATGCCCTTAGGGAAGGAATTCCAGGATTTTAACCCAATGACAGAGAAGATATATTTCCAAGTCAATGGTGAGTACCTTGGAGGTGGTGGTGTGCTCAATGTATCTGCTGCCCTTGTCCTCCTAAAATGCTCAAGGTCACGAATTTGGAACGTACCACCGAAGGAAGCTTGGTGAATTTCTGCAGTGCATCTTGTAGATAGTACACACTGCTGCTACTGAGTGTCGGTGGTGGAGGGAGAGGATGTTTGTGGATGTGGTGGCTGCAGTGTGATGGAATACTCCCCACTTGTCTGGATGGGTGCAGCTCCAACAACACTCAAGAAGCTTGACACCATCCAGGACAAAGCAGCCGCTTGATTGGTACCACATCCTAAAGCATCCACTCCCTTCACCACCAACGCTCAGTAGCAGTAGTGTGCACTATTGATAAGATGCACTGCAGAAATTCACCAAAGAACCTCAGACAGCACCTTCCAAACCCATAACCACTTCCATTTAGAAGGACAAGGGCAGCAGATACATGGGAACACCACTACCTGCAAGTTCCCCTCCAAGTCACTCACCATCCTGACTTGGAAATATATCGCTGTTCCTGGGTCGCTGGGTCAAAATCCTGGAATTCTCTCCCTACCAGCACTGTTGATGTCCACACACCAAACAGAGTACAATGGTTCAAGATAGCAGCACACCACCTTCTCAAGGGCAATTAAAGACAGACCATAAATACTAGCCCAGCCAATGACACCCACTTCCCATTAAAGAATAAAAAAAGTCTCATAAATCTTCTGTGCCCCTTCTCCAGGGCTTTGACATCCCTTCCTAAAGCCTGGCAGCTAGAGTTAGAGATCATACAGATTCTGACCTATGATACATGAATTTTCCTCACAACTTCCTTGTCTCAGTACTGTAATATAAACCTCTGTCAAAATAGCTGTAGACCCAGTACTGTTTTTCCAAATTTTTTCATAACTTGTTCCGCTGTCTTGAGCGAGTTCCTTACATGCACCCCCATAGGTCTCTCCGTTCTTGAAGCACTTTCAAACTGTACTGCTGTCTCTGCTCACTCTTTGTCCCAATTTACAAAAGTACACTTCCTGGAGGAAAAGCACTAAGCACAGCATCATAGGACCATATAACACAGAGATTAGTTCATTCAGTCTATGCTGGATCTTACAAAAGCAAACCAGTCAGCTCCATATTCCACATCCCCACAATATTCTTCTCCTTTGAGTGTTTATTCTTCTCCTTCCAAAGTTGCTCCTGACCTGTTACCATCATTCCTACCGTCCACTGTGTAAAGACAGCTTTTGCCTTGTGCTGCCTCTGTTATTTTTAACAATCATCTCGAATGTGCGTCCTTTGGCTACCAACCACTCAGCCAAAAGGAACAATTTCTCTTGATTTAAACCCTTCATGATCCTTTGAAACAGGAAGTGAAAGCAGCAGTGATACTGTCTATTTATTATTGTCACTTACCGACCACCTTTAATTTTAGCTGAGCACTGTCCTTCCCAGCTTCATTCTGTACCATAATCTTGTATGGGCCTGAGTCATCTTTCTCAGCGAGATCAATGACCAACGAGGTGTGATCACTGAATGATTCAGCTCTGACCCGGCTCCCTGTCTCCAAAATTGCCTATGAAACACAACACATTAAGCATCAACATGCCCTCACTATAAAACAGCTTAGACTTATATTGCAACCTTAACATGCTGAAATACCAATTCATTTTTTTTTATTAAGAATCCTGGACATTTAACATTATTTGGAGGAAGAGTTTTGGTGTTATTGATAGTGTCACAGACTTCACACAGTTTGAGGGAAAGGGATCTGTGCAACAGACATTGGGACAGCAAGTCTCCAACCTTCCTTCAGTAACATCTTCCAAACCCATGACCATTTCCATCTAGAAGGACAAGGGGCAGCAGATACATGGGAACACCACCCCCTGAAAGATCCCCTCCAAGCCACTCACCATCCTGACTTGGAAATATATTGCCGTAACTTCAATGTCACAATCCTGGAATGCCCTTCCTAAGGGCATTGTGGATCAACTTACAGCACATGGACTGCAATGGTTCAAGAAGGTACCTTCTTCAGAGCAGTGAGGAATGGGCAACAAATTCAGGCACAGCCCATACTCCAACATGATCAAATATTTGTTTCAATATAAAATATTGAGCATTTCTTGACGGGAAAAGAAACCCCACATCTTCCAGCCGAAGTCAGACTGATTGCTGGAACCTCATGCAGCAAGGAATCTCTGGATTTTGGGATTAGCTGGGCAGTCAAAGGAAATGACTTACTTTTTCACCTTTCATCCACACAATCTTTGGTATTGGTTCTCCCGTGACGGGAATGTCCAGCCGAAATTTATTTCCAGCCACCACCACAATTTCCGGCGTCTTGGCAAGATGGTCAAGATGAAGCTTGGGAGGGTCTAATGGAGCCAATGTTAAAAAGACAAAAATTAGACACATGGAAATGCTGGAATGCAAATATGGATTAGGATAAGCTGTACCCTGTCTTTTCATCTCCTGCAATGTTTCATCTACTAAGAACCACCAAATCTGATTGCCATTATAGAGTCATAGAGATTTACAGCACAGAAAAAGCCCCTTCGGTCCATTGTGCCTGTGCTGGTCAAAAAAATCACACCTAACTATTCTAGTCCCATTTTCCAGCACTGCATTGTTTCATTTTCCAACTACCTTGAATCCATGCCCCCATTATTCTTGAAACTGTTCCACCAATGGGAACTGAAAGATTGAGACTGTAATCAGTTGGTCCCATGCCTAATGGTGTCCTGCCCACATGAGTGAATTTCCTGGAGGCAGCTAATCATAACTCGTCCCACCTTGAATCCTCTTTCTACTGATAGTGCATGGACTATGGTGACTTCAAGAGGGAACTTCCCCTTCTCCAGGGCAGCTAGGAATGGGTAGTAAATGCTTGGCCAGCCAGCGATGCCAATGGGCCACGAGTGGAAAGAAAATCTGTTTGCAAAATGGAACGATTCCTGGTTACCCGATTGGATGATCCTTAGTTGTCAATCAATTTATTTTGCCCAACTTCAATATCATAATGCTCAATGGACAAGCTGTCTGAAATACCTCTAAGACTGTCATCCCTCGGCACATTGGCCTGTGAAGACCAACAGGACGAAGCTGGGGTTAGGGTTAAGGTTAGGTTAAGGTTTAGGTTTAGGGTTAGGTTTAGGGTTAGGGTTAGGGTTAGGGCTAGGGCTAGGGCTAGTGTTTGGATTAGGGGGTTAGGGTTGAGCTTCAGGGTTAAGGTAAAGATTAGGGCTAGGATTAGGGTTAGGGCTAAAGTTAAGGTTAGGGTTAGGGTTAGGATTAGGGTTAGCGTTAGCGTTAGGGTTAGTGCTTGGGATAAAGTTAGGGATGTGGTTAGGGTGAGGGTTATGCTTAAGGTTAGGGTTAGCATTAAGGTTAGGTTAAGATTAACGTTATGGTCAGGGTCCCACCTTGCAGGCTGACAAGATTGGGCTCTCTCAGATGATGTTGCTGAGGGAAATGTAAAGTTGTGAAGGGGCAGAGGTCAGTGGAGCTGAGAGAAGAGGATTGAGAGAGTACATTTCAACTTGGGACTTGTTTCTCAACAGATTGAGTTGACTGTGGCCACCAATGCATTGCACAGTCCCTGCCTGTCTGGGACATATTAACTACACCTTAGGCTATGCCTGAGAATCAATGCTGGGTGTAAGGAGGTGGTCACAAAATGTTTCCAATGCAGAAGGAATCCATTCAGCCTATTGGTTAGGTACTAGATCTCTGAAGGAGCAATTCACTGAGTGCCATTCCATCATCCTTTTCCATGTATCCCTGCACGGTCTGTCTCTTAACTCTAATCTGTCTAGTGAAAGCTTCATTGCCCCTCCGACTAAGACCCTAACCATTTGTTCCATGGGTGCATTTTTCCTCATGTTGCTATTGCTCCATTGGTCAACTGCCTTGAATCTGTGCCCCTCATTCTCGATCCATCCACGAATGGGAACAGAATGTGATCACTCAATCCCATACTGAATGGCGTTCTGCCCATGTACATGAAGTTCCTGGAGACGACCAATGATGAGCCCACCTGCCATTCAGAGCCCTATCCAATTGGCAGTTGAGGCTCAGCGCCCAGGTGAGGAAGGTGTGCCGATGTAGGTGGGTGACCATATCTTCCAAGTGGAGGGCCCTTCTGAAGGATTCGAACATTATCAATAGGAAGGCCTCAAATGCCAGGCCATTAATGTGGAAAACGAGTGATTTAAAGGAGGTGTCAATGATCTCCTGACCCCACTGCTTGGGGATCTTCCTCAAGAAAGCTGGTGGGTTCTGTAAATAGTCGTGGGGGTGGATGTAGTGATTGTAATGAGTTCAGCCAGGTGGACCTCATAGAATATGAGTTCCCTGATTGGGGCTGTTAATCTGGTCCAATCAGTGAGTCCTGGTTGTCAGATATAAACAGGGGTGTCAGGCCTGTTCACTCTACGAGCGTCTAGGCTCTGAGCTAGTTGGGTCAGTGTCATGTACAATGCCCGAGTAAATAAAGGGTAACTTGGTGACCGGATACTGGCCTTTGTGGAGTTATTTTTGTAGGGGTTGTTCCAAAGTTGAGAAGACCCTGACCCTTTAAAAAAATGGCCCCTATTTGGGCCTTTGAGTGGTCGACTGCCCACCTCAGTCCAACTTTCTCCTTCAGCCTGCCCTGGGCAGATCAGCTGGAGACAGGACTGTGTCAGGAGGTGGTCCCCCTCATCCCTGTCAATCTTCCCAACCCTTGAGCTCCAACGCTCCCCCATGGGGCTCAGGGAAACACAGCCCATTGAGCCCCAACTTCCGTTGTTCAGCAGGTCTGTGAACGCTGCCTGTTTTCACTCACCAATCATTCGAAGCTTAGCTCCCAGTTGCATTGAGTAACCGTCAGGGATGAAAGTGTAGTCACCATCGTCGTCCAAAGCCATCTTTTCTACCACCAACTTGTGTGCTCTTTAATCACAAAACACAATACATAAGGCTTTTGGCAAATTTGTGCATAAATTAATCAATAAACAACAAAAGTAGTGATTGTTCCTATCTTTCAGCATTGGCTTCCTGCTAAACGTCTGCAGAACTGAAGCTAAGCCGCACTTGGCGTTCTGTACATAAATCTGGTCTATTACTAAAAGGACCAAGAGGCAGTGCAGAAAGCGCAAATAAAAAAATATTTATTGGATAAGAACATAAGAACTAGGAGCAGGAGTAGGCCATTCAGCCCTTCAAGCCTGTTCCTCCGTTCAATAGGATCATGGCTGATCTCATTTCAGCCTCAGCGTCACTTTCCTGCCCATTCCCTATAACCCTTCAACCCGTTACTAATTAAAAATCTGCCTCTAGCCAAGGCAAGAGGCAGACACTGCACTCTAGGGGAGTGAGTTCCACATATTCATGGCCCTCTGAGGGAAGTCATTCCTCCTCATCTCTGTTTTAAATCTGCTACCCATCAGCCTCAAACTCCCATTCTAGATTGCCCCACAAGGGAAAACATCACTCAACATCTCCCTTGTCAATCCCTTTAGCATCTTATATAACTCAATTAGATCTCCTCTCATTCTTTTAAACTTCAGAGAGTATCGGCCTTTTCTCGAAGAAGTTATAACGGCCATGAAAGACTGAACAAACCAGGGATTTTTCTCTGAAAGGCTGAAGGGTTGTCTAATAAAAGGTCTTTAAAGTTTTGAACAGGTTTGAAAGAGTGGACAAAGAGAATTTGATTCTAATAGTTGAAAAGACAGACTTGTTGTTGAAGCTTTTCATCTTGTACTCATCAGATCTGATGCATAAATGTGAGTGAAGATTCTTATGGCTAGTTAGATGAGTACACTGTGAGAACCTTCAGCAACATTTTTCTCTTTTTTAATGATACTCTGTACTAACAAGAGACTGTACGTTTCCAACTGTAGTGGCCCCATAACTAGGGGCACAAATACAAGATGGAGCAGAGTAGATCCTTTCAAGAGAAATTGCTTTACTCCGCGAGTTAGAAAGTGAAACTCACTGTCACTGGGTGGTGGTTGAGGTGAAGATCAAGATACATCTAAGGGGAATATAGACAAAGACATGAAGGAGAAAGTGGCACAGATTCAGTGAGATGAAGAGGGGTGGGAGGATATTCATAACAAGGAACAATACAGCTCAGGAACAGGCCCTTCTGCCCTCCAAGTCTACACTGACACATTTTGCACTTCCGTACTAAAACTGACTCAGAGATAGTAGGAACTGCCGATGCTGGAGAATCTGAGATAACAAGGTGTAGAGCTGGATGAACACAGCAGGCCAAGCAGCATCAGAGGAGCAGGAAAGCTGATGTTTCGGGTCTGGACCCTTCTTCAGAAATGGGGGAGGGGAAGGGGACTCTGAAATAAATAGAAGGTGGATAGAGGAGCAGATAGGTGGAGAGAAGAGGGACAGGTAGCAGTTTCAGGGCCGAAGAGATTACCAGAGAGTTGCAGTGGGACAGAGATCCACTGAGGTCTTTCCGGAGAGAGAAGGACAACTTCTTCAAGGTGGGCACCCCTAGAAGAGGCTTTGCAGTGGGGTTACAACTCACTCAGAGATAGTAGGAACTGCAGATGCTGGAGAATCTGAGATAACAAGGTGTAGAGCTGGATGAACACAGCAGGCCAAGCAGCATCAGAGGAGCAGGAAAGCTGACGTTTCGGGTCTGGACCCTTCTTCAGAAATGGGGTAGGGGAAGGGGAATCTTATATCTGTCTTCACTTACAGGATCCGTATCCCTCTATTCCCTTCCTATTCATGTATTTGTCCAGGTGTTTCTTTAATGCTGCTATTGTTCCTGCTTCCACCACCTCCTCTGGCAGCATATTCATGTGGTACATAAACCCATCAGTTGGGCCAAATGGCCTGTTTCTGTGCTGGAATTTCTACCTAATCCCATCTTCAGTTACGTGATTTCACACACAGGGCAAGTTGTAACTTCCATCTTATTTGAGAAAATGCACTTGCAGCTGGATAAAGAATTCCTCTTCTCAACTGTAGGGTAGATTTATCCGACCATTTTTAATTCCAGCCTCTGAGTATTGGCATCACTGGCAAGGTCAGCCATTATTGCCCATTGCTACATGCCTTGAGAAAGTGACAGGTCTCCTTTCTAAACTGAAGCACTTTGATACAATTGCCATTAAAAACAGCCTCAGAGATGATATGGCTGGCAGGTTTCCTTCCCAAAAGGACAGTTAGATACCTCCTTATGCTATAGACGCTTCACATTTAATAATTTTGTGGATTTGAGTTTGAAGCAGTATGCATACCTGGACTGTGTTTCTTTCAAAAGAGGTCAATGAAAGGCCAATGGAAGTTTTTTTTTAACCAGTTATTTATCAGAAATCTCCTGCTTTCTTGCTTGGATATGGGGGGCAGAGGCAGCACATTTTAAAATAAGGGGCCTCCTATTTAGGTTGCCATTGAGGAGATCATTATTCTCTCAAAGGTTTGTTATTCTTTGGAACTGTCTTCTAAAGAGAGCACTGGAGGCTGGATCAATGAATATATTCAAGGTTGAAGTAGATAGATAGGTGAGAGTGTTAAGGGAACGGAGGTGTGGGTGCAGACAGGAATGTGGAGTTAAAGACACGATCGGATCAGCTTCGGTCTTCTTGATCAGCAGTGCAGCTCTGAGGGGCTGAATGGCCTCTTCCTGCTCCTATATCTTATGACCTACGTCACAGTTGAAGGGCCTAGCTTTAATTTGAGGTTGGGAGTTCTGTCAGAATTTGAGGCTCTGGACTATCACTCCACAGGGAATATTTTCTTTCTGTCTATCCCATCAATCCCATTTTTTTTTAAACCTCCAGATGTTTCACATTGATTCCAAATTCTGAAACGGCTGAGGTGGGATCAAACTCCTCACCTGCTTAAGTGTCCAACTCAACAATGGGCATGTTACCACCTAAACTGACAGCCAAAAGAATTTAACCCAACCGCTAAACTGGGACAGGCTGGTAGAAAGAGAGGTGGAAAAAGAAATCTTTCCAAAGGGGATTTAATAAATGCTTGAAAAGGAAGAGAAATTGCCTGGCCATTGGGAACAGAGCAGGGAAGATTTGGACCCATTGGATCCATCTTTCAAAGAGTTAACCTGAGCATGATAGGCTGCGTGGCCTTCTGTGTGCTGTCTGATTCTCTGACCTGAGGACAAACATTCACTCATTGGTTACATACGGCTGTGAACCCTCACTTTTTTCGGTGAGTTATCTTTATGTGTTCACTCGGATAGATCAGTTGACCATTCTTGTACCATTTTCCACCCACACTCGCTTCCGACAATTCACACTCAAGTTCAGCCTGTTGACCAGCTTGAACAACTTGGTCGGTGAGATCCTGCAATATCTTCAGAGGTTTCACTGAGAAACAAGCAGACAACGTCAGGTCACCTCGCCTTGTATGATACAGAGCCTCTCACCACCCCCACCGAACTAAAACACACCTCATTTCCTCAGCTATCAGTCCACGTTACCATAATGCATACCGCATAATCCATAATCCAGGGGCAGCACAGTGGCTCAGTGGTTAGCAGTGCTGCCTCACAGCACCAGCGACCTGGGTTCAATTCCACCATCGGGCCACTTTCTGTGTGGAGTTTGCACCTTCCCCCTGTGTCTGCGTCGGTTTCCTCCAGGTGCTCCGGTTTCCTCCCACAGTCCAAAGATGTGCAGGTTAGGTGGATTGGCTATGCTAAAGTTGCACATTGTGTTCAGGGATGTGTAGGTTAGCCATGGGAAATGCAGAGTTACAGGGATAGGGTAGTGGAGTTGGGTCAGGGTGAGATGCTGTTCGGAGGGTCAGTGTGGACTTGATGGGCTGAATGGCCTGCTTCCACACTGTAGGGATTCTACAATTGAACGTACAATTCTTTTAAGCTGAGTGGGACCAACTTGCCTGGGATTGATTATGAGCCCAATAGCCGCCAGTTAAATATCTGTGCTTAAGAACCAATCATGTTGGTGTGGTCTTGGGTTTCAAGGGGGTCCAGACCGAGTAACAATGACAGATTTCATTTGCTGAAGGAAAGTAACTTTTCCACCAGCTGGAAATTTCCATGAGTAGGAACCAGCGGAAAATCACTGGGAATGTGGCGGGATTAACACCCAGAATCCGATCATCCACAGTGTCAAAGCGATAACTCACAGGGCACTTATGCTCAGTTATGCTGCTGCAAATATATATTGTCAAGACATAAACACATTTTATTAGTGGCTTATCCAGGATCCTCTGTATTCCTATATTGTGGGATGCGGTGGTTTTGGGGGGTCTGAATGGCCAAATCATTTGTTTCCATGTTATGTTTTTAATGACAATGCTTCATGGCCACTTTTAATGAAGTCTTTAATTTTTATAAGGGAATTCCAACAACACCAGCTACCTTGAGAACAATATTACCTTTACTTGGTTAATTTGCTTGTAATTTGTAAAAATACCGCGACAAGAATTATCCCACTCAAAAACCCTTGCATAAAAAATAGTTACACGTACTCTCAACTTTCAACACTGCTGAAGACTGGCCCCCAGTCGTCTTCACCAAATATGTTCCGGAATCAGCCTTGGAGGCTTCTGGGATGATGAGCCAATGTTTCTTTCCTTCAGTCCGAAAGCGATGTTTAGATGAAACCCCAAGTTCAATCCCGTTTTTAAACCTGAGGAGGGGATAGGGGCAGCTCTGATTAGCAGAGCAAACCAGACACTGATTTTTATTTTAATGCCGCAAACACACCGCAAACAGAATCACAGATTTGTTACATTGCAGAAGGAGACCATTTGGCCCAACGTGCCTGCACTGGTTCTATCACCTAGTGACAATCTCCTGTTCCTTCCTCCTATCCTTGTATCCCACTTCTATCCAAATAATCATCCAGTATCCCTCTTGAACCCCCCTCCACCACATTTCCAGGCAGTGCATTCCAGATCCTCACAACTCACTGTGTGAATTTTTTTTTCTTTCACGTCACTAGGATGATCCCTGATATGGAGGCATTGTCTTATGAGCAAAGATTGAACAAGTTGAGACTCTACTCTCTGGAGTTTAGAAGAATGGGAGGTGATCTCATTGAAACATATGGGATTCTTAAGGGGCTTGACAGGGTAAATGCTGAGTGGATGTTTCCCCTCATGGGAGAGTATCAGAATAAAGGGGCGCCAATTTAAGATTGAGATGAGGACGAATTTCTTCTCTCAGAGGGTTGTGAGTCTTTGGAGCTCCTTGCCACAGCGAGTTGTGGGGACAGAGTCCTTGTGTATATTTAAGGCTGAGATAGATCCTTGATCAGTCGGGGAATCGACATGTATGGGGAATGGACAGGAAAGTGGACGTGAGGAATGTCATACTGAATGGCAGAGTAGGCTCAAAGGGGCTGAACGGCCTAAAATCATGTTCCTATTTCTTACGGTCTTCTCACCCTTTGCTTTGTTGGCACATCACTTTAAAACTAAGCTGTCTCATTCCTGCTCCTCTGATGCTGCTTGGCCTGCTGTGTTCATCCAGCTCTACACCTTGTTAGCTCTCTCATTCTTGTTCCTTTTACAAGTGGGAACAGCTTCTCCCGATCTATTCTACCCAACCTGCTCATGATTCTGAAAACTTCGATCAGGTCTCCATCTCAGCCTCCTTCTCTCCCAGGAGAACACTCCCAACTTCTTCAATCTATCCCCGCAGCTGAAGTTTCTCATTCCTGGAACTGTTCTTGTAAATCACTTCTTCACTCTCTCCAATGTATTTACATCCTTCCTATAATGTGATACCCACAGCTGTACTCAATACTCCAGCTGGGGTCTAACAAGTATCTTGTACAAGTTCATCACTGCCTCCTTGCTCTTGTAATCTATGCCTCTATTCATAAAGCCGAGGGCACTGTGTGCTTTATTAACTGATCTTTTCTGCTGTCCTGCCACCTTCAATGATCTGTGCACATATACCCGCAGCTCCCTCTGCTCCTACACTCCCTTTAGAATTGTACCCTCTATTTTACATTGTCTTTCAATGTTCTTCCAACCAAAGCACATCACTTGACTGAATAATGTTCGTTGAATCGTTGAGGTCAATCGCTGCATTATGGCTGGGATACAGTCTGTGGAAGAACTAACCAAATCAGTGGATGGTTACAGCACAGAAGGAGGCCATTTGGCCCATCATATCTGTGCTCACTCTCTGCAAGAGTAACTCACCCAGTCCCACTCCGTGGGCATTTGTCCGTGGCCCTGTGAATACTCTCTCACTCCAGATATTGATGCAGACCTCCTTTTTGAATGTTTTAATTGTACGTGTCTCCATCATACTCTGAGGCAGTACATTCCAGAGCCCAATCACTGCACAAATCTTCATCATCAATTCAATAGAAAAGGACAAAGGATGCCCCACCAGAAAAATGTGGAGAGGGTACAGAAATGGTTCACCAGGACATTGCCTGGTTTGGAGGTTTTTGGCTGTGAGAGGAGATTGGACAAACTTGGTTTGTTTTCACCTGAAAGTTGAAGGATGAGGGGCAACCTAATAGACGTTTGCAAAATGATATGAGGAATGGATAGACTGAATCGTTGGAGTCTTTTCCCCAGGATAGAAATGTCAATTACTAGGGGACATAAGTTTAAGGTAAAACGGGGCAAGTTCAAAGGAGATGGGTGTGACAGGTAAGTTTTTCACACAGAGGGAGATAAGTGCATGGAATGTGTTGCCAGAGAAAGTGGTAGAAGTGGATATAATGGCAATGTTTAAGAGACATATAGACAGATATATGAACTGGCAGGGAATAGATGAATATAGGCTGCGTAGAGCCAAAGACATTTTGGTTTAGAAAGGTGCAGGCTTGATGGGCTGAAGGGCCTGTTCCTGTGCTGAACTGTTCTTTGACAGTACAGAAGGAGGCCATTCAGTTCATCACATTTGTGTTGGCTCTTGGAAAGGGCTGTCTAATTAATCAGCTGTTTCCACAATCTTTCCCTGTAGCCCCTCAATTCTACTCCCAATAATTATTCAGAAGGTTCACTTGACTGGTTCCTGAAATGGGCTTGGGATGGGGGTGTCTAATTGTGCAGGGGTAGTGAGGGAGGTAGGGGTGAAGTTGAGGGGGTTGGAGTGAGTGTAGTCGGAGTAGGGGTTAGTTTCTGAGGGTTTGAGAGAATCTGGGCCTGCGCTTGTTGGAGATTTCAAGAATGAGAGGTCATTGACTTAGGACAGAAAATGCTGCAACGATTTTTCCAGATGGATGCTGAAAGGATGTTGCCCCTTCTGTCAGTGAGATAGAACTAGGTGACACAGTTTATCAATAAGGAGTGTCCCATTTAAGGCTGAGCTGGGGAGAATTCTTTTCTCACTGATGATCATAAATCTTTGGGCTGTTCTTGCTTAGAGAGTGGTGGAGGCAGAGTGACTGAATATTGCTAAAGGCTAGATTCTTGACGATCCAGGAAGTAGATGGGAGTAGGAGGACATAAAGTGAAGTTAAAGCTATAGTCAGGGCAGCTGACTGAATGGCAAAGCAGGATTAATGGGTTGAATGGCCCACTCCAGCTCCCAATTTGTACGTTTGCATGTTTACAATCACTTTCTCACAATCCTATTACAAATATTTGTCTGTCTCCCTTTTCTTCCCGCGCTAACAAGGTTTCAGGATTGGAGTCCCTGTACCATTTCACTTGTGCGTCATCTTCTGACACTTCACATTCCAACTCCACCCTCTCGCCAACCAGCTCATTCTGATTCTCCAGCTCGCGTGTGATTAAAACAGGAGGCTCTGCAAGACAACGGCACAATGCAGGAGAATTAAAGCCAATCATCCACATGGATATTGCTGCTAAACCCTGCCATTTCAGAGACATGCCTTTTATACTTTCAGTCTGAAATCCTCCCCAGAGAAGGGTCTTTACCAGTGGCCTAAGCTTGCAGTGAAAATTACATTTTGTCTACTTGAAGCTATCACACACGCATGTACCAGCAGAGGGAGTCGTTAGGAACAGACAATAAAGAAACCACGTTTACCCAGTTCTGAGGAAGGGTCACCGGACCCGAAATGTTAACTCTGTTTTTCCCTTCACAGATGCTGCCAGAACTGCTGAGCTTTTCCAGCAACTTCTGTTTTTGTCCATGTTTAACAGCCTGTGCAGTTCTAAATCTAAATGGCTTTGGCTGAATATAAAGCAGTTTCAGTCCCTAAACGATAGTAGGAACTGCCGATGCTGGAGTCTGAGATAACACAGCATGGAGCTGGATGAACACAGCAGGCCAGGCAGCATCAGAGGAGCAGGAAAGCTGTCGTTTCGGGTCAGGGCCCTTCTTCAGAAATGGGGGAGGGGATGGGAGCGGCATTGTGTCATACAGCCATACAAACATAGAAAATAGGAGGAGGAGTAGGCCATTCAGCCCTTCGAGCCTGCTCCAGTATTCAATATAATCATAGCCGATCATCCAGCTCACTCCCCTGTTCCTGATTCTTTTCCGCGTACCCTTTGATCCCTTTAGCAGCAAGAGCTATATTTAACTCCTTGAAAATAGTCAATGTTTTGGCCTCAACCACTTTCTGTGGCAAAGAATTCCACAGGCTCATCACCCTCTGGGTGAAGACATTTCTCCTCATCTCAGTCCTAAAGGACCTAACCTGTATCCTTAAACTGCGACCAACCCTCATCCCCACCCCCGTCTCCCCCGTCCCCCGGTTCTGGAGGGAGTTAGCCTGGGAGACCTCAACTTTGACTCCAGACTCTATGAAATCTCACAGCTTCAGGTTAAACACGGGCAAGGAAACCTCCAGCTGATTATCACTGTTGTGAAGTTGTGTAGAGTACTTTCGGATTGGGAGGCAGGATGTTAGGATTTGGTGTTTGTAAAATGCGAAGGGGGAAAAAGCATTGCGTGGTCCCTTTAAAAAAAATTATGTGCTTTTTCTGTGTTTAAAGATTTAAAATGGATGCCTGTGAGCAGCAGCCCGAGAGATTGCAAGTAGATAGAGAGCAACCAAATTGAAACATTTGAATCAAAAGGCCGTACGGTTCACAGGCCAAGCAGAAGTTTTTACCAGGACAATAAGCTTTTGAATTTAGCCAATCAATTTGTAACAGGTACTAATATACCAAACACCAATTAATGTAAGTCTGATGATTTTGACAACATAGGACCAATCCTATTGTAAGAAATATGGATATATCTTCACGGGTACAAAAAGCAGGCAGATGGACACGTCGCCAGAACGAGCTGCCATCTGCTGGAGCAAATGGCCCTCAGCTCTCAAGGGAGAATTGCTGGCTCTCACAGCCTCCTTTATGCCTCAGAAAAAGCACCACCTAAACAACAACGGTACCAATGGCACAACGAGTTAATGCTCCTGAAGAATTTCTGAAGAAGGGTCCAGACCCGAAACGTCAGCTTTCCTGCTCCTCTGATGCTGCCTGGCCCGCTGTGTTCATCCAGCTCACCACTGTGTTATCTAGTTAATATTCCTGACAGAAGAACCAACGGTGAAGTCACAGAACATTCTGGAATACATGTAACCTGTCTGTAAATTCGAGAGACTAAATTTTTTTTAATATAAAGTGGGACTTCTTTTATTGGAACAGCATACCATTAGAATCTTGCTGTATTCGGGAATAGTTAGTAGTTAGAAGGGGGGTTTATTCCGTTTGTTCATAGTTTAGGTGATTTGTTCACTGTTAGAGTTAGATAAACAAATTGTTACTTGTTGATTTTAAAGTAAGTGTCAGGGATTTGTTTTATTCAACCACTAAAAGTTGCTGAAGAGCAGGTTACACCACATTTCACACTCCATTTACAGATTACAGGGTGAAGTGCGCCTCTTTGGGTGTTTTGGTTGTAGTTCTCAGAGGGAGGTCGAACTCTGCTTTATAACACCACATACTTCCTTCCCTGGGCTGGTGAATCAGTATTCCTCCATGTTGAACAACACTTGGAGGAAACAGTGAGGATGACAAGGGCATAAAATGTACTCTGGGCGGGGGATTTCAATGTCCACCACCAAGAATGGCTTGGCAGTAGTACCACTGATCGAGCTGGTCAGGTCCTACAGGACATAGCTGCGAGACTGGGTCTGCAGCAGGTGGTGAGGGAACCAACAAGAGGGAAAAACATACTTGACCTCATCCTTACCAATCTACCAGCTGCAGTTACATCTGTCCATGACAGTATCAGTAAGAGTGCCCACCGCACAGTTCTTGTGGAGACAATGTCCCGCCTTCACATTGAGAATAACTTCCATCGTGTTGTGTGGCACTATCACCATGCTAAATGGGACAGACTTCGCACAGATCTAGCAACTCAAGACTGGGCATCCATGAGGCGCTGTGGCCCATTAACAGCAGTAAAATTGTACTCCAGCACAATCTGTAACCTCATGGCCCAGCATATCCCCAACTCAGCCATTACCATCAAGCCAGGGGATCAACCCTGGTTCAATGGAGAGTGCAGGAGGGCATGCCAGGAGCAGCACCAGGCATACCTGAAGATGAGATGTCAACCTGGTGAAGCCACCAACAGGACTTCTTGCATGCTAAACAGCGAAAGCAGCAAGTGATAGACAGAGCTAAGCGATCCCACAACCAATGGATCAGATCTAAGCTCTGCAGTCCTACCACATCCAGTTCTGAATGGTGATGGACAACTAAATAACTCACTGGAGGAGGAGGCTCTACAAATATCCCCATCCTCAATGATGGGGGATCCCAGCACATCAGTGCAAGAGATAAGGCTGAAGATTTTGTAAATGGAAAATGTTTCCAATTACAAGAGGTTCCAAAACTCAGCGTCTTCACTTTAAGAGAGTCACCAATTATCCAATCGTGAATTTTGGAAAAAAATTCTTCACCCATTGAGTGGGGAGAATATGAAGCTCAATATAACAGAGAGTGGCTGAGAGGAATACAACTGACATACTGAACAGCAAGTTAGATAAACTCATGAGGGAAATGGATACGTTGATGACATTCACTGATGAGAGAACATTTGAATGGAACATAATCACAAAGTAGACTGACCAGACAGATTGAAAGGTCTGAGATAACAAGGTGTAGGGCTGGATGAACACAGCAGGCCAAGCAGCGTCAGAGGAGCAGGAAAGCTGACGTTTCGGGCCTAGACCCTTCTTCAGAGATTGAAAGGTCTGTTTTCACACTATATGTTCAATGTAATTCTAAACTCTAAGAAAGCAGCAAAAATAACTAACAAAGATCAAACAGCAGTAGACCAGAAGCAAAAACAAATTGCTGGAAAACCACTGCAGGAGAGAAATCAGAAACTCAGTTCTGAAGGAGGGTCACTGGACCCGAAATGTTAACTCTGTTTTCTCTCCACTGATGCTGCCAGACCTGCTGAGCTTTTCCAGCAATTTCTGTTTTTGTTTCAAATTTCCAGCATCTGCAATCCTTTTGGTTTTATCATAGCAGGCGAAGGAGGTTTTTGGAATTATTTACCTTTGACAAACAATTCCGTTGCACATTTCTCATTCCCAGCTGATACCTCGTACGCTGCATCATCTGCCATGGTGCAGTTTTTGATTGTTAACATTCGCAATGTTCCTTTGTGTTCAAAGATATATCTGTCAAAAATTGCAAAGAAAGACTTCACTGAATACAAGCTCAACTGTCTAGTTGATTTGAAACACTTTGCATCAGATTTCTCAATTTCAGCCCTCTCCTGATCTTCCCCCTCACTGTATTTGGGGGGCAGTGGCCTAGTGGTATCAACATTGGAGTAATGATCAGATGACCCGGGGGCCTGGGTTCAAATCTCACCAATGACAGAGGATGGAATGGGATTTCAGTTTAAAATAGAAACAAAATCTGTCATTAAGAGTCTAATGTTGGATGTCAGGAAAACCCCATCTGAAGACTTTAGGGAGAGAAACTGCTTCCTTACCTGGTCTGGACTACATGTGACTCCAGACTTGGTGGGCAATTAGGGTATGGGCAGATTGGAGGACCTCCTCATGGGTCTGTTCCTGGGTCTGGCCAGGATGGCAATAAATAGGTCCAAGCAGTGGGCTGTGGAGGGGTTGTCTCCTGCTGACTGCCTGGCCCTTTTCTGTGGCTATGTCTGAGCCCGGGTGTCCTTGGTAGAGGGGGCACGTTGTGTTCATCAATCCTCTCGATGCCTTTAGGGAGAGGTGGGCATCGTGGGATGTGGAGTGCTTTATCTCTCCTTCCAACTCCATTTGATTTAGCCCCTACCTCTCAAATTATTCAAACACATTACACTCATTTGGAGGTGGAAAGAAGTCCCATTCAAGTTGTGTGTGATAACATACGGGATATAGGAAAGAAAGATAAAGCAGACTCAGGGATGGGTCTCCGGAACTGTCTATCCTGGGCTGCGACTAGTCTATCTATGCCATGAATAATGCCTCTAAGTGGCTGAACAATGAACAATGTTCCTTTCCGGTTGCGTCTCCTGAGTTATTATGGATCCTCCACCACAATTTCAAAGGTGAGCAGGGGAGCTCCCTGGTGTCCTGAAAACACTTACACTTCAAATTGACATCACACAAACACAGCAGACAAGCTGTGACAAGAACCAATGATCTCCTTGCTGCCTGTGGGATCTTGCTGTGCACAGGTTCGCAGCTGTATTTCCCAGATGTGGCAGGGCTGAGTTAAACAGCCGCAAGAACTGTTAGGGACATCCACCGAAACACTATTGCAGTACGGCTCAGGCTTTAGGCTGTAATGTAAAGTGCGATAGCAGGAATAGGAGCCTAGAGGGTAAAATGCAAGATACTTACTTTGGACCGGGTCGGATTTCTTGACCGTTGCGATACCATTTCAGGTCAACGGTTGGATCTGCCAAATCCACAACAAACCTGATCTTGTCACCTTTCTTAACTTGGTAGCCAGGCTCCAGAATCTTTGCAAAAGCTTTTGCAAAAAATCGAAAGAGAAACATTAAGACTGAAACGTGAAGTGGAAACTTGGATAGGATCATCATCTAGGTTTTATTCATGAGAGATTTGAATAAGATTGGACACGGTAACAGTGGATCAAGCTGGGAAAAGACTGCAGTCTTGCCTCCAGGGTCAGCGACAGCCATCGTAGGCCTCATCACAGGCCTCAGTGCTGCTCCCCACACAGGTCTAGGTCCCTAGCCCTGCACAGTGGATCCCCTTCAACCCCAGCCCCTGCTCCTGATGTAGCCACACCTCCAGGGTCCTTATCGGATCCAGTTACACTTAAAGAACCATTAAAGAGGCTGCAGAAAAGGTTCGTCTGAATAAGGAACTTCAGATTGGAGAATTTGGAACTGTGTTACTTGGAGAAGAGAAGGTGGGGAGGAGATTTGGTCGAGGTGTTGAAAATCAGGAGGGATCTGGATAGAGTAAACAGGCAGAAAATGATCTGAATAGTCAAAGGATTGAGAATGGGGTGGGGGTGGATGCAAATTTGAGTTAATTGGCAGAAAAGAAAGTAATGGAAGCATGAGGAGAAAGGGAAGGCATGGCCTAGTCATATTATCATTGGATTATTGATCCAGAGACACAGGTAATGATCTGGGTTTGAATCTCATCATGGCAGATGGTGGAATTTGAATTCAGTAAAAGTCTGGAATTAAGACTCTAATGATGACCATGAAACTATTGCCAATTGTTGGAAAAACCCAGCTCGTTCAATAATGCCCTTTAGGCAATGTGGTTGACACTTAAATGCCCTCTGGGAAACTTAGGAATGGGCAATAAATGCTGGCCTAGCCAGCAACACTCACATCCCATGAATGAATGAAAAAAAGGAGAAGTTTCCTGCAGCAAATGATTAGTTTGTAATTCGCTAATGTTACAGTGGCAAGTTCATTTGAGTTTTATAAAAGAGAATTGGTTGTTATCTGAAAAAACGAGAAGGTGCAGGATTACAGGAAGGAGGCGACTGAACAGCATGAGGTATATTGATCCTCTGGACAGCTAGCACAGACACACTGGGCTGAATGGCCTCTTTCTGTGCTGTAACCATTCTGTAATTTTGATGGTGTAGTGATTAAGTGAAGATTTATTGGAGATCTGAAAATGATGAGGGGTTCCGATGGAATAAATAAGCAGAAACTGTTAACACTGCTGCAGGGTCAGTCACCAGAAGGGCACACGTTTATAATGTGGTTGTCTGAAATATGGGAAATTGGGAATTTTTGTTTTTATGCAACACCATGTTGCAAGCTTCAACACACTGCCTGAAAGGGTAGGGAAAGCAGATTCAAAGGAACTTCCAAAATTGAAAAGTAAAATGAATTGAGTTTTTATTGGGTGAGGGGTGAAACAGCATAGCTTTTTTACGATGGGTTGAATGGCCTTGTTTTCCCTTGTACCATTCTATGAATCATTCACAGTGACATCGAGGGAATGTGAAAACGGAGCAGAGACTGAGCTTTAAAGGTACTTGCCAGCACTTTTTTTCTCTTCCCTCTTTATCTTCTTCAAGCGTCTTAGCAGACCCCTGAGGTCAGTGATGCCATATTCAAAGGCTATCTTTTCATACTCGTGTGGCTGAGCATTTTTCAGCAGTTCCCAAACATCAACTTCAGGCTCGGTGCTCTCTTCCTTCAACTCCCTGTTAATAAAAACAATGTAGAATATTGGGTTCAATTCCTGGGTTTTAATTCCCCCTCTGTCTCTGTAACTTTTCCCAGCTGTACAATTGGCTGAAGTCTCCAACTCCCTCGATCTAAACTCACAGCCTGAGTCCACACTGACCCTCTGAAGAGATCCCATCCAGACTCCATCCCCCACCATATTCCACAACCCTGCATTTCCTACGGCTAATCCAGCTAGCCTGCATATCCCTGGACACTCTAGCATGGTCAATCCACCCTAACCTGGGCTGTAGGAAGAAACCCACGCAGACACGGGGAGAATGTGCAAACTCCACACAGACAGTTGCCCGAGGGTGGAAGCGAACCCGGGTCCCTGGCGCCATGAGGCAGCAGCACTAACCACTGAGTTTCTGTGCCATCCACTTTGGTCACTTATTGCAATAACTCCTGTTATATTCTGGTACTTGGATACGCATCACTGGTGGCTTGTGGTTGGGGAATAATGCTACATCCAATTCTGCTTCCTGTGCTGGTCTAAGAGACTGTTCAGTTGTCTGTGGTAGAAGATGGACCACAAGTAAGTCTCAATCCAGGAGGCGTTTGTCTTTCATCATAAGATACTCTTTATTACATGACTGTCATCAAGTACAAGTTACATGAACTCTTGGGCAGAAAGCTACGGAACAAAGGGATTTGGGAATCCTCGTCCATGAATCACCAAAAGCTAATTTCCAATTTCAGAGGGTAATAGGGAATGCAAATGGAATGCGGACCTTAACTTCAAAGGGAATGGGGCTATCCGATTACTAAAATCAGCTCACAAATCCTTCCAGGTCTTCATAGCATTCCCAAGAGACAATTCCAACAGATTAAGACAACATCCAAGTAACCGATTTTATCATCAGACACTCAAATGTCTTACCGGTGTTTTAGCAACCCGCTGAAATCAAGCTCTCCTGCATCGTCCTGACCATCGCCACCGCTTTTAACAGAGAAAGAAAAATGGATTAAGGTTTCTTTTTCTGGAATCAGGTCAAATAAAAATCATAGAAAAGAATAAGAAATTGGACGATTTCCATCTGCTCTGTCACATCCCAGCTGACAGGTTCTAAAAAGAAAATGAATGGCAGATTTTTCAAAACTTAGCATGATCGCCTGATCTCTTCAATTTCACACAAGGCAGAAGTCGCAAAATGCAAAAAAAAACAACAATGTGGACAATTTATGATACAAATTGAATGAAATTCTGAATGAAGACCAGTTGCTTATGCACAGCTCTTAAATTCTTCCAAAGATGTTCTTCATCTCTTGAGTTTTTCATGGGTAACTTTCCAAAAGTTAAACACAAGGATTTCTAACCACACCTCCCACACTCCAGATGCTATGCCAAGTCGGGATTGGAGAATTAACATGGCATGTGCATTTACAGACGTAGGGAACATCATAATCCTACACCACCTCGTAGTTCATGTACATTTATTTGATATTTATGGATTATTTTCAAAGCTGTTTTGAGGGGCTGCTTGTTTCTGGAGCTGTGATGGGCTCCATCAATGAATGGTGGTGAGCAATGCTCTCTGCATTGAGAAGTTGTTTAATGATCAGCTAAGTCAAAGTGTAAACTCATGAACCACTTGGGTGCACTGTTATGATGCCCATGTGCAGGCCACCCACAGAAATTCAAGACATTCTCGTGACCATCATGAATGATCTTTGATCAATTCAAAGACCCAGCACCTCAACAACAGAGGGACTCAGCAAGAATTACCTTAAAGCAATCAGTCAGCAAACTGGACACAGCAAAACACTGTGTCTCACGTGTTAATTGGTGGAATAGGGTAAATGACTCTAAGAGAAAATAGGAGACAACAAGGTGCAGGGCTGGATGAACACAGCAGGCCAAGCAGCATCATAGGAGCAGAGAGGCTGA